GACATGTTTAATGTAGTGGATAATTTCATTCGGGAGAGCGGGTTCGATGAAAGAATTAGGGGGGGTAGAAAGGAAATTATTTACGGTAGTATTTATTAATTCATCATTTTGAATATAACTATCGTCTTCGCGATCGTTTTCAACAAAATTATTTTTTATGTTAGTTGCAAGAAGGTTAGCTTTTTGCTGATCAGTGACTGCCGTACCTGTCGCACAGTTAAGAGGTGGAATTTTTGGTCTTTTATTTTTGAAAAATTTTTGCGTGCGCCAAAGGCTATTGTCTGCGGTGTTAAGAGCTTCGAGTCTTTTTTGCCAAATGATATCATTATATCAATGATTGATCGAGCTTCTCATCTAAAATTAAATGCAAAAATAGCTGATCTCTCTGATCAACCATTCACAGAAGCTTCACTCGATACCCCAACTCATTTTAACTTCTTACATCAAAATATTGGACACCTTAGCTACAATCGGATTGGTTAGCATCGCCGCGCCTACTCCCATCACGAAATTTTTTTTAAAAAGTCAAACCTTTTTCATCACTTTTTGTCTTTATTTTATTTTATATTTGTAAATTTATTCATATCAAAGTAATTTTTTCTTATTATTAATTTTCATATTAGTTGTATTTTAAATTTTAAATATTATTTATTAAAAAGGACAATTTGAAAGCGTTTTAATGTCATCTACAATATCATGAAAGGAGATGAAGGTTCGGAAGAAATAAGTGCTCCTACCCCACCAAACTACAACACCTCCCTATATGAATACTGCGTATATAAGAGCTACTTGTATATAAGAATAGAAAAGGTATACAAATTAATTTCAGTAATTAAAAATGGAAAAAAATACAAAATCAAAAATACACCAAGAAAAGAACAAGATGTAAAAAGGTTTACGTACTTGAAAAACATTAAAAAATAATTACGGAAAAATCCTGCATATAACGCGCACTTTTAATGCAAAAAGTGATATCAAAATTTACGGATGAGCGTTATATACCGAATATAAAAAAGCGATAGTTTTAAAAGTAAAAAAGGAGATGAGAAAAATTAGACTTCTACATAGATCGGAATGCAGTTTATTTGAAAGAAACGACCTACCTAATGAAATTAAAGGATGCTGACTCTAAAAGTATACTATTTTGTTTCAAAATCCTGAGATAATACCTCGATACCAGCATTGTACACCCACATTTCTAGTTCTTTCTTTCTAGCAGCGTTAGACGGCGAATATACCTAAAAATTAAAAAATGCAGCTTGAAAGTATGGGTGCGCGTTATATCCCGGATTTTGCGGTAATTTATCACTATATTTATAGTCAGAGTAATGTTTTCACATAATTTTACAATTTGATCTTAGGTATGATATTCAGAGATCATGGGAAATAATTTAAAAGAGGCGGAAAACATTATAGCAAATCTTTTATATACAAGACGGACTATATATATATATACATGGGCACTAGAATCATTCATTGAGGCAATATACAATGCATACATATGAAAAGAAATATAAATTATTTACTTCCACTCTTTAACAGATGCTTTGGCCGCGGTAGCCGAGTGGTATAGGTATCGGACCGTGGCTTGCTTTGTCACGAGTTCGAGCCCAGTACCACTAAAGACCGCCGTGTAAGGCAGCGATGCACGTTAATCTGTCGAGAGCTGAAACGTCCTCCTGTTGGTGTGGTGTGGTAGTTAGGAGAGGGGGGGCAGCTCAGGTGTCGTCCACGTCACTTGACCATGGTTCAAAATTACGTGGTCCGTCGCCAAAAGCCCTCGTGTAGCTGAACAGTGCGACGTTAATATAAATCAATCAATTAACAGATGCTTTCTTTCAATCATGCTTACAAAAATTATTCTTAATTAGATCGAGCAGCAATAATATATGCTTAATATAACGTCTAGGGAATGATATATGCTTAATTTCAAAGATGCTAGGTGTATCTGGCGTGCATGTGACATATTTTTCATACGACGAATATTCAGGCGATAAAATACTTAACAGAATCATCTGAATCTTCGCAAACAAGGACCTTCAGATCTGCACGTACGATGTCGAGATGCCGTAATCATTTGTTAAACGGTGTTGTGAGTTAACTATTTTATTCGTTTTGTTTCTATTCCTTGGATTGGGATTTAACGCTTCATTTGTGTGCTTAAATTTTTATACAAAAAAAAAAAATTGCAAGCGTTTAAACACGCCTTAAGGTTTGTCTCATAAATTCGGAGCCATTTTGAACAGTAAAAATTTATTATTTACAATTTGTTCATAATAAGATAATTACATTTTCGGTTCTTAAACATGATTATCGTGCATGTTATTTTTGTACAGTAAAAATTTTACTGATTTGTTTCATCTAAATCTAATATGTAAATTCTTTGATTTGATTTAATATTAACGTCGCACTGTTCAGCAACACGAGGGCTTTTGGCGACGGACCCCGTAATTTTGAACCATGGTCAAGTGACGTGGACGACACCTGAGCTGGCACCCCCCTGTAAATTCTTTGAAAGCTTTTTAAAAATTATACAGATTAAAGGACATCCACGATGTGATAATGATACTTTAAATCAATTACCTCCTTTAAAAATAAATAATGCAAGCTAAATATTAAAAAAATCATTGGTTGGCTTAATTACTCTAATGCGAGTATAATATATTCACAACATTTTTCTCAATTTACATAGCTTTGTTTTAGAGAAATGTGAAATTCATTTTAGATTAATAATTAACAACCCATAAGTGAAAAGAGCACCAAAAGCTGACAGAAGAAAACTTTTCTTAAGAAACACCACATCTCCAGCCGATATGTAAATAATTTCTTTCTTCTTAATTTTTTCAAGAATTTTTATTTCTTTCCAACAGTGTGACTTATCGTATTGTTGTTTACCTATTAAAAATCCAACTATAGTTTTTATCATCATCATATATTTAGGAATCCTAGAGCTGAATATTGTTAGGAAAAATATGATCATTACACCGGCGAGGGAGGTAGAACAGTATCCAAGCATTTGAAAACTTTTGTAATTTCCGTGCAAAAATGATGACAATGTTGCGTATAAATTGCAAAAGGAAATCGATAATATAATAAGCAAAGGTGTTGATATAGTATCCTTCAAAAGATGAATCTTCTCTTCGATACAATTGTAATCGCATAATATTTTTGAGCATTTTGTTGATAAAGCTGTGTTATAGTTAATTCTTATGCAATTGTAAATTTGTAGAAGAAATAGTCCATAATGGTGCATAAGAATACACATTGATAAAGCAAAAAGACAAGGATATTCCAAATAAACAAAAAAATACATGTATATACCTATAAAATATATAAAAAGTCTATGTGTCTTATTTTCAACAGGATATTCCAGAGTCCAAAAATTAATCTGAACATTTCGCATTTCATAAGTATATATAGCAGCAAGTATTGGTGGTAAAATATAAACAATAGAAACAATAACATTTATGATATACGTATGAGAAGTACATCGAATACATTGTAAAAAACTAGAATGATTTTTTATTGTATGTGTAAGATTTTGTAAGTTTTTTCTTTGTCTGAACATTGAACACCATAATGTGAAAGTTAAAATGCCTACAAATAGATACGCAAGATTTTTTTTAATATCTTTTCCATAAAAAAGCTCATATATATTAGCTACAAGCGTCCAAATTGAACACAAGTGAAAAAATATTGTCGAGCTATACGAGATGATTACGATAAATTTTTTAAAATTTTTTTTGTTTTGTTTGCCATTGAGTGAATATATAATCCAAAAAGGGACGTTTATATCAGTATCTTTAAGTAAATTTATGTAGTGCATTTTGTAGATTTCGATCGTTTTTTCGATAGAATTTAATATGAATTACAATGAATATTTTAAATGCCCTTTTTTCATCTTATTTTCGAATAAATAATATGTTGCCATTACCAATCTTCTTAATTAAACGTTAAATTCATAAGAGATATTCCAAAGGACTAAAGTAGAACGAAATCTAGATTTATTGTATTTAGATAGTAGTACTCTGATAATAAACTACTATTTATACCACTTTAGTAGGGTATAGTATAGGGTTTTCCTGTGGATGTAATTTCGATCTATTTCTTTCTCAAATTTCTTCTGTTTGAGTCTCGTTAAATTAAGTTATAATTTTCTGGAACATTTTAAACAAAAAATCATCTCTCAACCAAAATCTTGACCAAGTCCTCAAAATACAGAATTCCAGAACAAAACATTAAGTACTCACTAATATTTTTTAGATTAGAAATTTTTTTAAATCGATTTTAAGATTTTTAGTGATTAATAAATCCTTTTATAAATAATGTCATTTAAGTCAATCTGTAATAATAAGTCTCATATACTGAGTCATTTTCATAATACGTGGAAAAATTTGTTGACTTCTTATTCATCTTTACTGTGATAGTTTTGTTGTTATAGATGAAATAAGAAATAACTCTTAATAAGAAAACAAGAGAGAGGAATTGTGTTTTTGATTCAATTCTAAATTGTTTCATTTGTCTTTTATATTCATTGCCGGAATGGAATAGTCTTCAATCAGAAAAAAATGTAAAGTATATGATAGTATAAAAATAATTCAGGATATTCTGAGCACAACGAATGATCACGATAAAAATACAAAACCTGCTCTATATATGGCCTTAAATCATTTGATCAGTATCATATTTCAGATTATAATACATTACCTTGAACGTATATCAAAAACAAAATTTAATGCATTATAGCATATGTGAATGTTTGACATTTATATTTGGGTAAAATGTGATTTCAAGCATTTCAGTACTTTAAACGTGTTTATTGAATTAACAATATGGCTGAACTTGCCATTTTCCATCTATGAGAAATTTTGTTCTTCAAAAACAGGCGAAATAAATTTTGTTCATATGTTTGTTTTATCAAAATAAAAGTCCGGTGCCAGTCAAGGAAAATTTTTGAAGGTGATTCAAATAAATTCTTTGATTTTTCCTATGACATCTGTTGTCACCCTTCCAATTACTGACCGCGCCCGACGATGCTTAATTTCGGTTATCGGACGAGAACCGGTGTTTACAGCATAATATGGCCAATGATATGTGACATCTAAAAGATGGAAGTATTTTTTTAAAAAAGAAGAAAAAGGTAAAATATATCTTTTTGTACTTCAATAATATTTCATGTAATAGTCCATAAGTTCATTCATTTAAATTCACAATTAACACAAATATCTCAAGTTCGATGTAATTTTTTATTCTTTAAAATATTCTCTCGAAATAAAGTATGAACTCAAAAAATAAAATGACGTATCACAAACGTCATCAGCAAAAATCGATTGTCTAAGAAAACATGAGAACTTAGCATCGTTAATAATCGATATATACCAAACACAAAGAATGGACTTTTTAGAAATTTATATACATATTTTTTCTATTCGACATATTAATATAACAGGAAGAATATTCAATAGGATAATGAAGTTACCTTCCCATCCAGCGTCCAACAAAAAAATTCAAAAATCATATACATTGACAAAAGCTAATGTAAAGTTTGTTCATCCTATTGAAAAAAATTTATTATATAATTAAATTTATTGGTAATATCGAACATTAAAATCGAAAAATCAATAGTTTCATTTATGTTTGAGATAACTTATTGATTTTAATATACTGCTTTATTAAGTAATCAGTATCATGTTTCAACAAAACAAAAAAATCTAAAATAAGCTTTTAATGATGACAGCATGCTGAAAGCCACCGGTTGAAATTTCAAAATTATAAATAGTTGATAAAAATAGCTTCTTGTAATTGTTGTTTATTATGCAATGAATGAAAATTGATGATTTCGTGAGTGAGTGAGTGATTTTGAGGTTTAATGGCGCAAGGGCCAATTTTGGCCAAACACTTGTTAAAAAAAGAGACATTTGTTTTTAAAATACATTTAAAACATTAAAAGTAGAAAAAAACTGAGAAATTTAATTAAGTTTCGTTAAAAAAGGTAAAATCGAAAATTGTACATAAAATTCAATCTGAATAAATTTAAAAACAAAGACTGGTGGAAGAATTCCTCCACCAAGCTCGATATGTATTAATAACAACGTCTAGAATTAGAAAGATTGTTTTAAAAGTCGTAATCCCTGTCATTTCTTTAGATACTTGATTGGTGTTATGAGATGCGAGTAACCATCGTTTATAATATGTTTAAAATGTTCATCCTCCTCCACATGGTACACAATCATGTCCTCGTCTTCTGAGGTATGATGAACATAGCTTTTCTTAGGTGTGTGAGGTGTCAGTTTAATTTCAATTTCTGCCTTTTGTTCTTTTACACGCCCTTTTCTACTTTTGAGTTTTGTTTTAATCGCTTTGGAATTTGTGATGTGTTAAAATTTTTATTATTGGATGTAGGAGCCGATAAGGAAACGGATGGTTGAACTTCAGTTGACAGGGTGGCAAATTTATTAGCAGTTGTAAGAACTGGGGGTACTTCAGTTGATAATGATGAAGCGGAAGTATTTAGGTTATTGCTAGGGGAAGTAGTAGTAGTAGTAATGGGTATTGGTAACAAAGTTTCACTTTGTATTGTTGGTAATATTGCAGATGTGGAAGGAATGGAGGTGGAAGGTACGTCATTAGATATAGGAATTTTAGGAGTAGGTGGCTGGGATTCTGATATTGTAGCTGTCGAAGGTAATAGGTGTGCTTGAGTGGAAGCAGATGACGTAGAAATTATAGGAATAATTGCAGTTTTATTTTGTTTCGAGATGGATGAAGCTGGTTGAAGTAGTTATAAAGGTGGGCACTTTATTTTTGTAATATTTTCATCTGTTTGTGTAAAAGAGGATGTTATTGATGATTTAGCAGCCTGGGAATATGTCTGTGATAAAGGTAGGGCTATTAACTTTCGAGCTTCTAAGTAGGTTATATTTTTATTAGTTTTAATTTCTTGTATTTGTTTTTCAGTTTTCCATTTTGGGCAAAGTTTGGAATCGGAGGAATGAGACTGTGAACAGTTAATGCATTTCGGTTATAGGGTACAATCTGTAGAAGAATGCCCTACAGATGCACCCCTAGAGCATATTAGTTGTCCGCAGCAGGAAGTTGGAGAATGACCGAATCTCTGACACTTAAAACAGCGCAGAGGATTCGTTATATGGACGTACTTTACAATTTAGGTAACCAGCTTTAATGGTTGATGGTAATTTAGGGCTATTAAAGGTTAGAATTAAATGTTTAGTGGGGGAAAAGATGAGTCTTTTTTTTATTGTAATTCTTCTGACCTGGGTAACACCCAGGTCTGAAAGTCCTTCCAAGATTTTTGTTTCAGAGGAACACAAAAGATCTGGTTCGGAGATGACACCTCGACAGGAATTCAAAGATCTGTGAGGAGTTACTGAAAGTGGAAAATCTAAAAAGGTTTTAGCCAACAAAAACGATTTACTTTGTAACGCAGATGTAGTTTCAATAAGTAAGTCACCAGATCGTAGTTTTTTAATAGATTTCGGTTCTCCACCTATTCCTATTATAGCTTTGTGGACAACAAACGGAGATTTTCGAGACATTTCACTGTTTGGTAAAGATAAAATTAAAAAGCGTGAACATTTAGCAACGTTGTCAATGTGTAGGTTGGGTAAAACAAGGCCTTTACCCGGGCACTGCAGCATTGGGTCAATATGAACGCGTACACAACTTCGTTTTGGCATGCCTCCACCCACCACGGAGTCCAACAAGGGAGGCAGTGTGCCGGTCATCTGGCAAAACCAGGCATGGCGCTTACCTGGAGTACACCCAGAATATAGTGATACAGCATCAGGGTGAGGATCCAACGGGTAAACTTGACACCCCTTATCTGCAGCACTAACCCTACAGCAGTGTCTCTTCGGGGACACCGAAGAGAGGTACCACCAGCCGATTGACAGGAGCGGGCTCACTCCTGCCTCCCGTCTGCAGCGAAGCGCGGTCCAAAGGTATTCCCAGGACACCATTTTCCTCCTTACGGGACGCCGTACACGGCAAACATGCGGGTAGGAAAACCAACGTTGTTAGTCAAAAACAAATAAAGTAAAATAATCAAAACATTTAAAGAAATCTAAGAAGTAATAATACAAATACCAAAATAAATAATCGAAAAAATTACGAAAGGATTAAACTAATTTAACGCAATGCAAAATGAATATAAAAATATTATTAATGAGAAATCTAATTAAAACAAATCAATTGATAATACACATATGTATTTCGAAATAATTATCTGTGGTCTCGACGTGAAATGAAGGAAAGGGAAATTTGAATGGCAAGAAAGAGGACCGAAAACAGAAAGATCACTAGGGAACCCCGGGGTCGTGAAACGCGTGTTTACCAAAAGAAGCTGAGCCCCGTGAGGGGTGATGATTTCGTGAGTAGGGTTCAATAAATAAATATAAAAGAAAACGCTAAAAAGATCCCATTTTTATTTTTTTATACATGAGAAGTCTATTACAGCATAACTTTATTTTGCACACAAGTGTAGACAGAGACAGCAGTAACACTGTACTTTATGTATCAGAATAAATTATTTGTTTTTAATAAAATTGAAATGATTTCGGAAAAACATTGTTTCATAGACATATAGCTATAATGGTTGTATTGATAAAATAATTTAAAGTCGAATAATATTATTTAGAAGCAAATGTGTGAGTAAGAATTTTATTCCTACATCATCTAGAAGTTTTGTCTTGATAACAATTTTTAGAATATAATCGATTGTAATAATGCACCACTGCATTAAAATACAAAAACATTGAAACTTTGCAGGCAAATCCTAGTGTATGTTTGCTGGAAAGTAAGTATTTTGCTAAACATTAAACCTTAAGTAATTATAATTTACTTTCTATAAGATGTTATGATTACATTTGCTATTTGCTTTCTCATTAATGGTTATTCTTTCGGTTTCAAATGATGTCTTATCAAATAATATAACAAATAACATATTTTCTGAATGTTTAATTTAAACCAAGACAAAAATTTACTTTAGAAGGTTATGAGTATATGCTTCTGTTACTAATTAATGTTCAATAGAAATCTAAAAAGTTTTGTTTTCAGGATTGATTCTTGAATTAATGCAGCACTTTTGAAGTTATATGAGAACCATTGACGATGTACTTAATAATTTGGACTCTCAAGTGATCAAATGAACTGGTGTGTGTGTATGCCCCATTTTCCAAATTCCAAACCCCGTCAAAGTGAGAGTTCTCAGCCTCGACATCAGCCCTCTATAAAGTGGGTCTATAGTGGCAACATAACTTAAATCCACATTTCGATAGTTGATTTAAGGTTGACAAAAAACTAGTGTTTGCGTCATCTCAGATTTTCGGGTATATCAGGGGTGGCGAACCTTTATGGATCAACGTGCCATTTTTTCTAAAGAAATGCTGAATGAGGTATACACGTGCCGTCAAATAATTTTGACTTGTGATTATTGTGAAAATAATAAAACTAAATACTAACAACACAAAACTATTTATTTACTACAGAAAAATACATTTCGTATTTTATAGTAGTAAACGTGTAGTTCAAATTATATAAAGTAAATTTTGCGCGATTTCTGCTGTTGCAGATTAGAAGACATATAAATTATATTAGGATTGGGTAAGATGTTACTTTTAGCAGAATGCATGCTTAATTGTAGTCATCTGCCAAATGGTTACTAAGCGAGTCTTTAATGTTATTCATCTCTGAAAATAATGACTCGTAGGCATAGGTCGATGAAAATATGGTGAAAATAGCATAAGCCTGCTTCTTAAAAGAGTTATACATATCTGGAATTGAATTTAGTGTTTCCAAAATTTTGTTGCTGGCATTTTTTACTTATATTGCTTTATATATATTAATATCTTTCTGTTTCAATCAATTCTAACTTTTCCATGTCACAAATTTTTTGAATCCTAATTGAACTAGACTAGAAATCAATAAGTTGCATTTCAAATTCTTCAATTTCCTACGTCAAAATCGGAGTAAATTCAGTTTATCAAATGTTGTCACATCAGAGAACATAACAAACTTGAGCGTTTCTGATAATTCTTTGTACTGAGAAAATCTCACTGAAAATTTCTTG